TTTTGCCCAAATGATATACACATTTCAAAGAAAGAATAATCCAGTAAGATGAATGCGCACTAACCTGAACTTCCATACTTGAGTGTGGCAGGGATTTGGACATACTACCCAAAGAGACACAATGCAGAGATTAAGCTGAGGTTATTTGAGAAACAGCAGATGCAGACAGGTCTCTCTGACCTTTCCCAGAAGCAGGTCACAAGACCCCCAAGCAAGAAGTACTGTTATCTCGAAAACTGGAAGACCAGGCCATAAGAACCAAGAAATTATCACCTTATATCCATTCCTTCTGACTTTGTTTCTGTTGCTTGAGACAGCCTCAGGCAGCTCAAACTGATCTTTTAAACTCTGTATAACTAAGAATGACCTTGAACTCCTGATCCTCCTGTTTCCACCTCCCCAGTACTGAGACTATTGGTATGCATCAATACACCTAGTTTATGTGGCAATAGGGACTGAACCTGTTTATTCTTTATCAGACTTAGTGCAAAACACTCAAGTTGAAGTGTTTCTTTGGTTTCTCAATTTCCTCATGAAGGCTCCCATGTCACATAAAGCTTACACTGAACAAATCTGCATGATTATCTGCTAACTTGTCTTTTGTTATACAACTTAGAAGGGTTGAAGGAAAAGATTTTTTTTCCTCTCCAACAAAAGCTTCCTAATTGCACTCTTAAATAAATCAAAAGGAAAATAAAATATATCTATTTTTTAAAAATTAAAACAAAAAATTAACTATTTGTTTATTGTCTGTGTGTGCCTTCAGCATATGCAGGTATGGATGTGCATGTAGGTGCCTTTGGAGGCCAGAAGAGGGCATTTGATCTCCTGAAACGGAGTTACAAGCAGTTGTGAGCTGTACAATATGGGTACTGGAAACTAAACCCAGGTTCTCTCCAAGAGCAACAAGTGCTCTTAACTGCTGAGCCATCTCTCCATCTCCCATGCATTAACTCTCTTAGATTCCCATGTCACAGTTCTTCACATGTGGGGGTGGAGATGGATGGAGATATTGTACATGCGTAGCATGTGAGACCCTGGGTTCCATCCCCAACATTGAAAAAAGTCTTTGGGCTTGAGAGATGGTTTAGTCGGCAAACTGCTTACTGCACAGGCATGGGGACCTGAATTGGGATCCCCAGCACCCACATAAAAAAAGCACAGCATGTTATCATATGCCCTTCTCCTCGCTAAGTTATGGAAGCTGCTGTCCTGCTGAAGCTAGGCAACGGGGAGGCTTACACAGCTCTTCCACATCCACCCTTTGTTCTGTTTGTTTGCCTGGTGGCTGACCTGAACCACACAGCCAACTCCATGAAACAATACTCTAATAAACTTGGTAAGCACTGAGGCCACTGCACATAGATTTCCCCTCCTGACTCTAAGTTCTAGGATGCTTCTAGAACTAGTTCTTAAAAACAAATACCATCTTTGGACTGTCCTGCCCTCCCAACTAGCTTGAGTAATCATCAGCCTGAATCATTTGTACACATGCACGTATACATACATACATACATACATACATACATACATACATACACACACACCTAAGCTTTGTTTCATGTTTTCTTATACCAGAATGGTCTTCTCACCCTTTTCTACCTAGTAAATCTTTTAGGACATACTTAAATGTTACATACTAAGATTTCTTTTCACCTGAAGTAGAAAATATCTAGTGTTCTAAATCAACTCACTTTATACTGCACTAAATTTTAATGTGATATATATTTGCATACCCACTCTGCCCCACCAAACTGTTATTTTCTCTAGGGAAGATATCATTTATCATTTTTTATTATTAAAGCCTTAATAATTACCAAGACCTCTTTTTGTCTAAACAATAATATTTTTGAGGGTTTGTTTGTTTTTCAAGACAAGCTACCATACAAACCAGGTTGACCTTGAACTCACTATATAGCCAAAGCTGGCCCTGAATTCCTGACTCTCCTGCTTCTACCTCCTGAGTGCTGGGATTACAGGTGTGTGACCACACCTGGCCATATTTTGGAGTTAAATAATCTAATGTGATGATCAGTAGAGACGAGGCATGAGCATAAAAGTGCTGATTCTATTCCTACACAAAGAAAGTACAGCTCATACTTACTACTTGAACTAACCCCTCCAGCAATTTGTTGAAATACATATTGACATTCCTACCTTGTATAAAAGCTCAGGGAAATTAAATAACTTCCCCAGGATTAGACAACTAACAGGAAAAATAACTAAGGTAGGAGCCCATGTTTTACTGCACAACAGTCCAAGTGATTTTTAATTTCCTCAGCAGTACAAATTAACCCGAGGAGCAGGGTAGAAGAAAGGTTGCTGGACACAATCAACACAGCACCTGTGCAGGTGTGGAACCATCAAAGTGACTCACTAATCAAATACAAATCCACCTTTTAACTGTCTTCATTAGGTCCTCTTCTTTCTCAGAAGCCTCAGGGCAAAGGCAAAAAAGTGCTGGCTAGAGCAAGCCATCACATAAGAACCCAGTTGTCATTTACCAGCAGTCTCCTTCCTTTTTTCTTTTAATTTCTTTATGCTTTCGGGTGTTTTCCCTGCATGTATCTCTATGTACCACATGTGCATGGTACCCATGGAGGCCAGAAGAAAACACTGGATCCTCTAGAAATGGAGTTACAGCCAGTTACTAGCACCATGTGGGTACCAGGAACCAAACACAGAGACCACTTGAGCCATTTCACCAGCCCATTTTGTTTTTCTTATTCCAAATTTTGTTTAGATTTATTAGTACAGGCAAATGTTCATTGTAGGCTACGAACAAATGGCCCAGTATCATAACCCTTACTCTTCGGGACTGTCCCATTTTGTGTTTGTAAATTTAGATACTACCCCAGCTTCAGTGGTTATGATAAACACTGAAGAAAACAGTGTCAAACATCAGTAAATGCTAAAAATACACTCTCATTGCTATTGGTGCTATTATTGTCTCTTTACCTCTGACCTTTTTCCTACAATCTTTTTCATTACCAGAAAATTTTTCTACAACCAAATTTGCATAGATAAATGTACAGCCAAAACTCCAGTCTTTTCCAAAAAATGGTTATGCTGAGCTACATCTTGGTTCTTTTTTGTCTCTAGGCTACTTCTCCAGACACAATCAGTTTTTCACTGTTTATTTTTCCTCGAATTTTTATCCCTTTTGATGGCATTTTTTATCTCAGTTTTCTTAATGTTTTAGGTCACACTAATACTGCACACTGATAACTACATTCTCTTATGTTTCTGGGCAAGTCCCTATTCTCCAGAACACTGTACCCTCCATTTGTCTAGCAAATTCTGACTAACCCCTCAAACCCTCAAGTCAGACATCTTATCTGAAATCTGAAGATGGAGGTTTCTGTTCTGCCTGGTCCCACAGCTGATTAGCCCCAAATATGTAAACTGTTTGGCCAATGGCTTAGGCTTCGTATTGGCTAGCTCTCTCTTAATTATTAACACATTGCTATTAATCTAGTATTTCCATGTGGTCTTATCTTACCTGAGAAGGGTCCGGACCTGTTACTCCTTCCTCTGCTACATAGTGTCTTTCCCTCGCTGCTCCTCTCCTCAGAATTCTCCACACCTCGTAGCCCCACCTCTATTTCCTGCCTGGCTACTGGTCAATCAGTGTTTTATTTATCAACCAAGAAGAGAAACATACATACATACATACATACATACATACATACATACATACATATATGTATATATATATATATATATATCACACACACACACAGAAGGACATCCCCCATCAGAAACCCGCGCCCATACCCTTTCCTCAGTCACTTCTCTTACCCGTCTACCATCTACCTCAAACATAACCAAATCTTAATTATCAGCCTTACAGTGACTGCTTGCCTATCTGCAACTGTGCTCTAGGACATCAATACTCACTTTCTTTCTTTTTTAACAAATACATTTTTTTTAGATTTATTTATTTATTGTGTATATAATAAATAGTGTTCTATCTGCATGTATGCCTGCTGGCCAGAAGAGGGCACCAGATCTCATTACAGATGGTTGCGAGTCACCATGCAGTTGCTGGGAATTGAACTCGGAAGAGCAAACAGTGCTCTTAACCTCTGAGCCATCTCTCCAGGCCCCAATACTCACTTTCTATTTCTCGAACTTAGCACATGCAATATCTGCAACAAAGCACTACATACCAACCTGCAGAATTAAATCTGATTATCACCCCAGTCTGCAGGGTCATACTAAAGCCATGATTTTAATCTTACTCTTCTCCACTGCTCTTTTCTTTTTCAAGCTAGTAATATGTCTTCTCCACCACAAACATCAACAAAAAGAAAACTTTGGCTCCAAGACCATCTTCAAGGACTAGCTCAAGACAAAAATCACACCTCAAATTGTCATTTTCCAAGCTACAATACATTTTTATTTGCTCACATCACACCATATATTTACCTCTTACACTTTCTCATTATAATTAGATGCATGGATTGTCTTTTTCTTTTTTTGTTTTTGTTTTTTTTTGGTTGCTTTTGGTTTTTTGTTTTTTGTTTGAGACAGAGTTTCTCTGTAAAACCACCCTAGCTGCCATGGAACTCTCTGTAGATCAGGACGGCCTCAAACTCACAGAGATCTGCCTGCCTCTTCCTCTGCCTCTGCCTCCCAAGTGCTGGGAGTGCACCACCACTGACAGATACATGCATTTTCTTAATCATAACAATAAAGCCTCAAGTTCTTCTATTTCAGGCAAAAACTATAACAGTTATCAAAACAAGCAGATGCAGCCCACTCAGGAATATTTATCAATCTTTTTGTTGTTGTTATTGTTGCTTGTTTTTGTTTTTCGAGGCAGGGTTTCTCTGTGGCTTTGGAGCCTAACCTGGAACTAGTTCTTGAAGACCAGGCTGGTCTCAAACTCACAGAGATCCACCTGTCTCTGCCTCCTGAGTGCTGGGATTAAAGGTCTGTGCCACCAACACCCAGCCAAATATTTACCAATCTTTCAAACAGGAAAAATACACTACCTGAGTAAGGATTAAGAGAAACCGTCCACCGCACTGTGAGTCCTATTAAGACCACAAGTGTCATCCAGTACCAGTTTTCCATAGTTCTTCAAATTCAGGGAGGAAGACAAAAGCCAGGGCCACAATACTTCCTGCTAAGTCCGTCACTTGTCTCCTTGTTCAAAGCAATATCACCATCTCTGCAATTAGCAGCTTGAGAGGATAGTAAAGGATGTTCTGCTTCCACACAGTGAAAAATCGAATGTCTGTGGAGAAGTAGCCTAAGGAGAAAACAGAATCAAAATTTAATTCCGAACTGCACCCTAACAATGAACCCATGAAGCCACTCAGAAAGATGGGAGGTTAGAGGGGCAAGAACCTACAGAAGGCTCTTTATCCCTGGGACTGAGAAATATATTGCAAAAGGCAATTTCCTGTAAAAATGTGATACAATCATGTCTAAAGATAAGATAGACAAAGGCTTGTTTTTACAAGTGAGTATTTCTGAAAGGTGTTGATACTGGCACAATCTACAGCATGTCCACCTACAGGCACACACCGGTAATTCAATTCCAGCACTTCAGAGCCTAAGACATGAGTTCAAGACTAGCCTGGACTACATACTGAGACCACAAAGATGGTCTAAGTTATCTTTGGCACAAAGGAGGAATTTTGTCTTTGCATTTAGTTTGGAAAAGCCTTCTACTGATGTAATTTCTATAGTCTTGTTTTTACTTCCTTCTCTCACACCATCTGTGCACTAACCTTACACATCAACTTCCCATGTGAGAGAAATAAACTTTTAAAGACAAATCGGTAAGAATGTCCCAAATCTTAGAAGAAAAACTACAAAAGCAAAAAAATTTAAAACATAATAATTAACCACCAAGAAAATTCTTTTTTGGCCCTTTCTATTTTTTTTTCTTTAGGTTGAATAGTGTATTGTGTTTTACTGTTGCTGTGGTTTTGGGATGGAACTCAGGGTCTCACACACATAGTAAGTACTCACAACACAGAGCCATGTCCCAGACCAGGCTGAGATCCTAAAAGCAAGAAGCAAATGGACACCTTCCTCTTTGAAATTATGGCCCATATTAAACATATTCAGAGAAATACAAATAACAAATCAACTGAGAACTTTCGGAGAAAACGAACAGTCTACCTCGTAAGCTTAAATTATTTTCTTACTTAAACTATCAGGGGGCTAGGGAGATGGCTGATCCGTTAAGTGTGCCAGATGGTCTTGGAGAGGAGCTAAGTTGATTCCCAGCCCACAGCAGGCAGCTCACAGTCACCTTAACTCCAGTTCAGAGGATCTCACTGGCATGCTTGGCACACACTCACACAGCCACAGCCACACACATAAGATGAAAATATTTTTAAAAATACCAAAAAACACTGTACTTAATTTTTTTAAGATCAAAAGCAATACCAGAACTAACGGAGTCTGGGCAGAATGACTCAAAGCACTCAGTGAAGCTACATAACTCCATTCTTATGGCTTGAATGACAGAAACTCCCTTTCTCCCCACTGTGTTGCTCCTCTAGTCCTTTGACTGCTCCTCAAACTGTCATCTCAGAGGCAAGAAAACGTTAAAGTTCAATCACTTTCCAATGCTGACTCTGGACTTGACACAAATTAGAGACCACTGCTATCCACTCAAATGCTTTTGTTAGTCTATCACTAAAGTCTCTTCAATCAACACTCTGTGCTGTAATCAGACTTGCAATGTTATGATGTATTTCTGCTAGAACATTTCAAACTTATAATTAAATGCTAACTCCTGGGTATCTTAAATACATATGTATTTAGCTAAATATATATATGGTTAAAATAATATTCTAAGTAGGAAATTTAAGTCATTGATTGTAGATGGGGTTTTCTGCCCTATTAGCCAGTTCCCAAATAACCACACAGACACAGAGACTTAATATTAATTATAAATGCTCAGTCAATAGCTCAGGCTTGTTAGTAGCTAACTCTTACATTTCAAATTAACCCATATTTCTTATCTACCCTCTGCTACGTGGTAGTACCTTCTTTTAGAACAACGTTCATCCTCCCAGCATCCTCTTTGCCCCAAAAATCCTGCCTACCCATTGGCCAATTAGCTTTTATTAAGCCAATCATCGTGACATATATCCACAAAGTATAAAGGAATATTCCACAACTGATGGCCATAGTTAGCTTCAACTGTCAACCTGATATAAACCTAAAGTTATCCAGGAAGAGGGAACCTCAACTGAAGAACTGATCAGACTGGCCTGTGGCCAAATCAGTGAGACATTTTCTTACTTACTAATTAATATAGAAGGGCTCTCTTAGTTAGGGTTTCTACTGCTGTGAAGAGACACCATGAGCACAGCAACTCTTATAAAGGAAATCATTTAATTGTGGCTGGCTTACAGTTCAGAGGTTTAGTCCATTATCATCCTGGTGGAGTGTGCAGGCAGACATGATGCTGGAGAAGTAGCTGAGAGCCCTACATCTTGCAGGAAACAGGAAGTGCTCTGTGTATTCACACTGAGTGAAGTTTGAAGATATATGAGACCTCAAATCCAGCCTCCACAGTGACACACTTCCTCCAACAAGGGCATACCTACTAAAGCCACACCTCCTAATACTGTCACTCCCTTTGGGGACCAATTTCTTTCAAACCACCACAAGGGCCCAGGCCACAGTGGGATGGGCCATCTCTAGGCAGGTGGGCCTGGACTACATAAGAAAGCTAGTTGAGCAAACCAGGAAGCAGGACAGGAAGCAGCAGAATGGTTTCTAGCCCAAGCTCCTTCCTTGGCTTCCCTTGATGATGGACTAGAACCTCTAAGATGAAATAAATCTTTTTTCCCTAAGGCTGGATACGGGTATGGTGGTTACCACAGCAACACAAAGCAAACAAGGAGACTGATAACAACCAGGTTAAATGAATTATCCTCTGTTGCAGATAACTTTAAGTATTTCCTCAGGAAACTTAAAACAAGCCTTCTGATAATACTGAATCATCGGCATCATGAACTTAAAACAATGAAATGCTTAATAGGTACCCTGCTGACTCAGCTTGCCAAGAGCACAATGGGGAAGACACAGCTAATTAACAGATGAAAATACACAAATCCAAAGTTTTCCCTAGCAACTATGGAGTTCCAACTCTAGAACTAACAAGAATTTAAAAATTCAAGTACATTCAAAGCACTGTACTTAAATGTGGGGGAAAAAAATCAAGTGTGTGCTGACTAACTACAAGGCAACAGATATCTTGTGTGTGCTGACTGACTGGAAGGCAACAGATAACTAGTGTATGCTGACTAGATGACAACAGATGACTAGTGTGTCCTGGCTGACTAGAAAGCAAGATAACTTGAGGAGGAAAAGGCTTATTTCATTTACATTTCCGGGTAACAGTTCACCATGAAGGAGAAACTCAATCAAAGCAGAAACCTGGAGGCAGGAACTTGAGCAGAGGCCATGAAGGAGTGCTGCTTACTGGCTTGCTTCCCATGGTTTGCTCAGCCTGCCTTCTTATACAATCAGGACTACCTGCCGAGGGGTGGCACTGTCCACGGTGCACTAGGCCCTCTTACATCAATCATACATCAAGAAAATGCAGCCAGGCATAGTTACGCATGCCTTTAATCCCAGCACTTTCAAGGTAGAGGCAAGTGAGTTTGAGGCCAGCCTGGTCTACAGAGCAAGTTCCAGTACAGTCAGGGCTACCCAGAGAAGCCCTGTCTCAAAAAAAAAAAAAAAAAAAAAAAAAAAACCATTTTAAAAGGAAAAAAGAAGGAAGGAAGGAAGGAAGGAAGGAAGGAAGGAAGGAAGGAAAATGCACCACAGACTTGCCCACAAGCCAATCTGGTGGCAGGCATTTTCTAAATTGAAGTCCCCTCTTCCCAAATGACTCTAGCTTGTGTTGAGTTGATACTAAACTAACTAGCACACCTGTATAGTGTTACAAATTAAGAAAAAAGTTACTTAAGGGGCTGGGGGAAAGGGTCTCTGGGGAGGTCTTCTGGGATGTATGAATATTATTATTTGAACTGAGTAACAGTAAAAAGGTGTGTTCACTAGGTGATAAATCGACGAGCAACAATTTTCCAGTACAGGTATGTACAGTATGGTTCTCTGCAAGCATGCCATTCCAACAAAATAGCTTAGGAGGAAATGGCATTTACTTGTCAATTAGGAACAAAAATGCCACGAGAGCAAAGATCCCCCTTGGTCCTTTCACCCTTAGACCAGGGACAGGAGGGGAGAGAGAGGAAGAACAACTTTTCTGAGTCCTATGTGGCTATTCAGTGAGACACAGGGTCTCACTGTGTTGCTCTGGCTAGCCTAGAACTCGCTTCTGTAGACCAAGCTGGCCTGGGATTCCAAGAGTTCCGCCTGCCTCTGCTTCCAAGTGCCACTACGCCGGGCAATTTCCCCCTTCAACAGTGAGTGCTGCTCCACCTGCAAGCACAGCTCAGGAACTTTCTCAGATATCCACATGCAGGTAGCAGGCGCATCCCGACAGGAGACAGGCCGCCGAGTCCCAGGGTACTCCCTTTCCCTGCCGAGGGACCCGAGGGACTCCCGCCCCCGGGTTCGGCAGAAGCAGACTCAGTAGGCGGCAGGGACAGAATCACCCGGGCCACTCCGGCCAGGCCGCGTCACCACAGCAGGACGGCCTCACGCCGAGGACCCCGGGGCAAGGCGAGGCCGTGTGACAAGCACCTGAGTCGTCAGTTCGCGCCCGCTGCCGGAACCACCCCACGCCTGCCGGTTCTACACCGCTGCAAACCCGGACTCTTACCAGCCACCAGCGTCCGGAATTGGCGCCCCAAAGAACCACCGAAAGCGCCTGCGCACTCGCCGCTCACGGAGCAAGCGCGCCTCCGTCGCCCCTCACGGGAGCGAGCCCGTAAGGCAAGGGGGCGGGGCGCGGTGGGGTCGGGCGGGGCTGGGG